ACCAGAAAGTATAAGGGGCATTGATAAGTGACCTTTGAATGACCTTCTCCTGGGTATGTGTGTGTTCCTTGACCAGCTTCATATGTGTCTTCATGTGAGAAAATGTAGATGAAGTAATAAGTAGAGCAGGTGCCTTAAAACATTATCAATGAAAGACAGTTTTGGGCTGAGCAAAGAAAGAATGTCCTTTTGAAAGACTGGTGATGTTTAAAGGAAAACTTAAATGTCCATGACCCATTAAGGGTTGCCCTTAAGCATGTGGTAATAATATGTTCCATCTAACATAATCAGTAAGTGACCTCAGTATTTTAGAAATGTTGCATGTGCCTAGCACAGGCAAAATAAAAGAAATACTAAACAGATGTGGCAATGGAAATTTCAGTATAATCTCTATGGAAGACTTAATGACTCCTGGATCATATACTCAAGGCATCCTTGGAAGAGAGCTATATCGCCCGGTTTTCTTTAGAGAGAGGATACATTTATATTCACTGTTTATGTGTATAATGATCATTTTCTCCCTTGTTTCATTTATTTGGAGTTTATTATTTTAAGGAAGATACATATTTCTCTACCAGACCTCTGAACAGTTTTATCTGCTGGAATTAGTTTATCTAATGTCAAATAAGTATATTAATATTATGTTGTCTTTTCATGTACACATCATGTCATCTAGTGTTCAAAACACTCTTCTCCCTACATTTCTGCTCTATAAATGAATATATACACTCTGTCCAAAGAATTCACTTTTTGATGAGTCTTTTTTTTTAAAAAAAAAAAAAGCTCTCAATTATGTTTATTCTGAAGATGTAATAACTCTCAGCTGGTTTAGTCCATTAATTGCTTCATGTGTGCTTCAACATTGTTGAATAAACTTTGCAAGCTGCCATATCCTCGCTTTGGCAACACATATACTTTGCAAGGTGCCAGAGGCACAGTGGCATGCACCTTTAATGTCACCCACAGGAGGCTGAGGCAGGAGGATCACAGGTTCAAGGCTAGCCTGACCTCCATAGCAAACCCTATCTATAAAAAATAATATATTAGTAAACAGACAGGCTTTCAAGTCAGTAACCTAACTTTACAGTTCAAGAAACTAGAAAAAAGAACAGTAAATTAAATTGAAAGCCAACAGAAGAAACAACATAGAGTAAAATAAAAATTAAATAAAATAAAGAATAGAAGACAATAGAATGAATAATCAGAAGTTGCTACTTCAAAAATATCAACAAAAATTACAGACTTGGTTAGATTGACTAAGAAAAAAGAACAAAGTCAAATTACTAATATAAGTGAAAACGAATGTTACTACTCTGCACTTTATAGAAACAAAGGATTATAAGTGAATACTATGACTAATTAAAAGCCAACAAGGAAACAATCTAGATGAAATAGAGAAATTCTTGAAAACACACATATATTATCAAAACTAGCTCAAGAAGAAACAGTAAATTTAAAAATAACAAAACAAGTGCAGTAGTAAGATCCTTCCAATTGAGAAAAGTTCAAGATCAAACAACTTCACTAAAGAATGTTCACTTTAAAGAAGAAATAAGGACAGTCTGTCTCAAATGCTTCCTTATTCCAAGACGGGAGCATTATATCTATACTAAAGCCAGAGATACTGGTATATAGGAAAAAGGAAACTAAACTGTTACCTGTTTTTAATATTGATGTGAAAGTCTTCCACAAAATATTAGTAAACTGAAGGCAGTATTTCTAAAGAAATTATACACCACGACCAGCTGGGTTGTGCAAAGGAATGCAAGTGTTGTGTAACAAATAAATATTGGTCAATATAGTTCACCACTTTAATAGAATGAAGAAGGAAAACATGATTATGATTATCTCAGTTGATATAGAAAGAAGAATCTGACAAAAATTGAAATTATGAAAAAAATAACAATATACAATCTGGGAATAGAAGGGAAATTCCTCAACTCAGGAAAGATCATTTATGAAAAATTCATAGCTAATATCATACTCAGTGGAAACAGTAAGATAGATAGCCTTCCCCATAGGATCAGGAATGAGACTGTTTTCACTTATGTTCAAAATTATGTTGGAAATTCTAGCCCGAGAACTTAGGCAAGAAAAAGAAAGAAAAGGCATCCAAGTTGTAAAAGGAGGTAAAACTTCCTATTTGCAGATAAGATCTCATATATAGAAATTTCCAAGGAGTTCACAACAAAACTGTTAATGCTAATGAATTTAGAAAAGTTGTAGGATATAAAATCACACTAAATTAGTTGTAGTTTTATACATTAGTAATAAACTAAAACTAAAATACTTAGGAATAAATTAAAATGAGGTATAAATTTAAACATGAGGTAAAACACTGCATACTACAAACATTGTGAAAAGAAGTTAAATAAGTGGAAGTACATTCAGTGTTAATAGATGGGGAGATTCAGTATTGTTAAGATGGCAGTAATCCCCAAAGCAATCTACATATTCACTGTAATTCCAGTCAAAATTCCAGTGGCCTTTTCTCTTTTTTTACAGAAATAGAAACGCTAGTTCTCAAATTTCAAGAGACCACAAATAGCAAAAATAATATTGAAAAATAAGGCAATATTGGAGTACTCTTTCTGATTTACAAACTTAACAAAAAGCCACAGTCATCAAAATTGGTGATACTGGCACTGGGTAGACATACAAACCAATCAAGATAGAAGTTAGTCTATAATTAAACTCAAATATCTGTAGTTAATTGATTTTTCAAAAAGTGTGCCAGTACCACTGACTAAGGACATATTATACTCTTCATATTATCTTGGCACAACTTTAATTCCACAACAGAAGAATGAAGTTAGACCCCTTCCTCATACCATAGACAAAAGTTAACCCAGAGTTTATCAAAATCTTAACTGTAAGAGCTAAAATTATAAAACTCTTGGAAGGAAATACAGATTATATCTTCATGGACTTAGATTTGGCAGTGGCTTCTTATATATGACATGAGAGAATGAGAAGATAAAAGATACTGGTCTACTTAAAAGATGAAAACTGTTATGCACTAAAAAGAACATTATCTTGGTAGATGCATAGCTTTTAAGGATGCATGGACCAAATTAGGTCAGCGGGATTGCTATGAATATAGCCAACAGTAATGCCAGGTGCCTACCAAAGGCCTTTAGATAGATCCTCTGTAGGGTGTCCCCCCCCATTTTGGAAAATATGTATGAATAAATAGTTCTATTTGAGAGTTGGCGGCAGCCTCTCCTGTAGCCCCTCAAGAGTCAGTACATAAGAGGGGCATCCTGGGGGGGGTGTTGAAATGGGAATTGTACCGCCTATGCCCCTCCTCTGTCTCTTCCTCTTCATTGCCCTCCTGGGGTGCCCAGCCTTGGATCTGGGCCAGCAGGGCCTCTGCCAGAGCTCATTCCACTGCTTCCCTACAGAGATGTTCCTTGGGCTGCTGTTTCTTGAACCTGGCCTTCCTCTCCTTCCGGGCGAGGCTGCCTCCTTCGTAGCTGTGCTTCCTCTTCCTCCCCACATGCTTCTGCATCCCTTACAATGTGTCCAGGTGACTCTTAATCTTTTCGTCCGAGCCTGGACCTGGCTCAGGGGCCCTGTAGCTTGGGGAGAGCTGGTACCAGGAGGGCTGCATCTGGGCCTCCACTACACTCTGGCCCAAGTAGGTAAGGATGCCCTGTGCTTTCTCTTGCCTCTCTTTCTCCTGCCCCTTCTCTTCCTTGTACTCTGTTGCCTCTGGTCACCCCTTTTCCTTCCTTCAAGCAGCTCCCAAAACAGGTCCATGGGACAGGAAGCCAGAGCTCGGGTTTCTTGCCCTAACTGCTCTTCACAATTTCAACTCTCTTCAGCTGGAAGTAGCCAGAGCTGTCTTGTCCTTTTCCTCCTTAAAGCAGTTAGGGGTACTTCTTCAGAGGGGGGAATATTGCAGATAGGTAAGTTAATTAGATATCTTACAGGCAGTTAGACGGGGCCAGCCCAGGAGAATCCAAGGTGGAGGACAGTCAAGACACTTTCTCTGAAGGCCAAAATTGTAAAAGAAGAGAAACTACTTTATCTTTGTACTTCCCTGGGGCTAAATAGCAGTGATTGATAGTCTAAATAGGTTTCAATCACCTGGGTGGGAGGCCATGGTTTTAACCTAGCCTTTCCAGGAAATATCCCTGACCCCCACCCTTACTGAAAATCCTTGTGTGCTTGCTGCATAACTTGCTCCCTCATTTGACCCCCATTTAATCAGTGTTACCTGGGTGACTGTACTTGTAATCTTGTTTCACCCCACCTCATGCCCACCTTGTAATTTTCCATTGGGTCTTACAGTTTTGTTCTACTTTGTACCCACCTCACCACATGGCTTTGCTGTATAAAACATCTTTGAAAATTAGGGTGAGCAGGCAACCCACTTCCCAGTCCCCCTTCTGTCTCTCTCAGAAGCTTTCTTCATAAATTTTTCCTACTCTTTAAAGAAAAACCTATAGACATGAAAGAAAATTATTGCAGATCATATATCTAGTGGCCTAGTATCCAGAACATACAAAGAACTCTTATCCAGGCACAGTAGTGCATGCTTATAATCCCAAGTATTTGGGAGACTGAAACAGGAAGGCCACAGGTTCGCAAGCCTGAGCATGTGTTGAAAGCTACTCTGCAATGATAGACGACAATGGGACACTGTCTACCATTCCACTTCACAAAAGATTTTGACAAATGAAAAGTACATTACAAGAGACAGTGTCAGATGAGGAGGAAGACACTCAAGCCTATGTCATGACACATAAATGAGGAGAATAGGAAAGGCCAGTGTTGGAAACATGGGCAGTCTTCAAACAATAAAAGCTACCTGAAACGATAGGGAAAAGAACAACCCCAGTGCTAAGATTGTTGGATGTACATAATTGCTAAAAACCAGGCAGTCGGTTGGTGGGAAAAGAATTTTTGGCTGAAACCAGTTGAAGTGGTAGAATTTTCAGGTTTTGGTCAATATCTACAGAATGGTGACTTGCTTCCTTGGCCTTATTTTATAGTCTTCTCTTCTGAGACAAGATCTAGGGCTTGGGAGCCCAGCCCAGCTATCTTCTTCAGGAAAACCGGGAACACCATACTACTCATTCTCTGCCACAAGTTCCAGGAGAAGACCACTCCATGACTCTGCAGCACTTGGTGAGTACATCACACAGCGAGTCCCATCCCAGAAGAAACAGCCTGCATGCCACCCACTTGACTACTTGCGTCCTACTCTCCCTTCCTTTCTTTTTGTTCTCTTTTAGTCTTTACTTCTGGCTATGCTTTTAGTTAGGAAAAAAATTTAGTTTTTGGTTTTCATTGATTTCAGGGCTTAACTTGTGTACAAGTAATACAAGGTTGAGCATTCATAATCAAAAAATACGAAATCCAAAATGCTCCAAAGTCCAAACAATTTTGAAATTGACATTATACCATAAAATTCTACACCTGACCTCATGTGGTAGATTGTAGTCAAGGCATAAACACACTAACAATTCTATGTAAAATTCCTTTTGGGCTATGTGTATAAAATAAGGTGTATATGAAGTATAAATGAGTTTCATGTTTAGATTTGGGTCCTATTTCCAAGATACCACATTATATCTATGGAGATATTACAGAATCCAAAAAAAAATCCATAATCCCAAAAACTTCTGGTCACACCCATTTTAGATAAGGGATTCAATCTATATCCATTAGATATATTAATAAATAAAATATTAAAATTCTTTAGTTTCACGAATACCTACCTGTTAAACTACCACCACCACCACTGATTGAACTC